TTTACATTTTAAATACAAATATTTTATATTGGTTCTTTACTGTGACTGTTTGTTTATATACTGCAAAATGGAAAGAAAGTATCTTTGGAGCAAGTTGCAAATGATAAAGTGCCTAAATCTAGATTACTTTGTGAACTTGTCCAGCATGTAAAACACAACACTGGGGCCTTTTTCATTGGACTTAAAATGTGGAAAAAGCCATCCATGTGTTGTGTAAAGAAAAACTTTGAAAGACCCTTTGAAAGCCTGGAGAAGTTATTCTATAGACCCTTTTAAACAGTTACATGACAGCCCAGCTTCTTGGAAGAAAACTATAAAGAAATTAGGGATGACTCAACACTTTTGCATTTGTACTGTACAACAGAAATGAAGGTTTGTCTTTTGATAGATGCATTACCATTCATCATATCCCATTCTATTCTGCACAAACACAATTAGCCCTTGGCTTGCTCTCTGCATGTGGTCCTTTATCTGCAGACAGAGGAGTTCAGCTAACCAAACATATTCATCAAAAGTCTGTTCTCTGGCTCTAAAAATAGCCACCGCTCTACAGATTATAGAATAGTAATTTCTGCTCAATGAAAACCACAATTACTGATTCAAACACACATCAATGAATAATAGCTCTGCTTTATAATGCAGCTCTGGTCTGATCTGCTTAGCTCAGCTCAATCCAAACATGGCTGGCTTGTCTCCACCCAGCTCAGCTTAAGTCCACTTGCTGCTTCTGCATTATAGATGTTTGTGTTTTCACCTAATGAAGATCTGTGAGAGAGTTGTAGAAGCTAGATTTAGACGAGAGGTAACTATTTATGAGCAGCAGTATGGTTTCATGCCAGGAAAGAGCACCACAGATGCCATCTTTGCTTTGAGGATGATGATGGAGAAGTACAGAGAGGGCCAGAAAGAACTCCATTGTGTCTTTGTGGATTTAGAAAAAGCATATGACAGAGTGTCGAGGGAGGAGGTGTGGTATTGCATGAGGAAATCTGGAGTGGCAGAGAAGTATGTTAGACTGGTACAGGACATGTATGAGGACAGCAGGACAGTGGTGAGATGTGCTGTAGGAGTGACAGATAGCTTCAAGATGGAGGTGGGAGTGCATCAAGGATCGACTCTGAGCCCCTTCTTGTTTGCTCTGGTGATGGACCAACTAACAACTTAGGTCAGACAGGAATCCCCGTGGATTTTGATGTTTGCAGATGACATTGTGATCTGTGATGAGAACAGGTGGAAGAGAACTTGGAGAGGTGGAGGTATGCACTTGAATGAAGAGGAATGAAAGTCAGCCGTAGTAAGACAGAGTACATGTGTGAATGAGATGGAGGCTGGCGGAACAGTGAGGCTACAAGGAGCAGAGGTCACAAAGGTGCAGGACTTCAAGGACTTGGGGTCCACTGTCCATGAAAATGGGGAGTGTAGTAAATATGTGAAAAGGAGAGTCCAGGCAGGATGGAGTGGATGGAGAAAAGTTTCAGGAGTTATTTGTGACAAAAGGGTGTCAGAAAGGTCAAAGAAATATTCTACAAGACAGTGGTGAGACCAGCTATGTTGTATGGTCAGGAGACAGTGGCACTGACAAAAAGACAGGAGAAAGAACTGGAATTTGAAAAAATGAAAATGTTGAGGTTCTCCTTAGGAGTGACAAGGATGGATAAGATTAGGACTGAGGTCATCAGAGGTACAGCACAGGTTGAACAACTGGGAGATAAAGTTAGAGAGGCCTGACTGAGATGGTTTGGACATGTCCAGAGGAGGGACGGTGGGTATACTGGTAGAAGGATGTTAGAAATGCAGCTGCCAGGAAAAAGACAAAGAGGAGATATATAGATGCAGTTAGAGAGGACATGGAGGTAGATGGAGTGAGGACAGAGGATGAAGAGGACAGAGTGAGGCGGAGGAGAATGATTCGCTGTGGTGACCCCTGAAGAGGGAAAAGCCGAAAGAAGAAGAAGAAGTGTGCGTGTCTTTCTGTGCTTCTGTGTGAACGATACAAATAAGCACACACATTTTGTCATGATATTAGGGTACATTTATTTCTATGAGCCAAGCAACAGGTAGGAGTGTGTGCACATGAGTAAGGGACTGGTGGCTGAGGCCACTATTCATCTTGTTTCCTCTAAATGCATTTGACCGTGCACAAAAGAAGGAAATAGAAAGTAAATTATTTTTTTGTCTGCTTGTG